CCCGGGAGATGGGGGATCGGGGGGGGGCGGGTGGATGGGGGCAGCGCCTCGGGGGGAGCGGGGGGTGAGGAGGGCTGGCGACATCCGAGGAAACGGAACAGACGCAAGACATCGCGCAGGGCGAGAGAGTATGATCGAGGTCGGGAATAGTGCCGGCGCTAAGTGTGGGGAGCATGATTTGCGTGTGAAGTACAACTTAAAGACATGATTTGCGTGTGCAGTACGTCCTCAAGCTGCCTCACGCGTACCTTTTCAACCGGCTGCGCCCCCCGGCCGTCGCTGCCCCCCCGCAGATGAGAAACCCTGAATCCAAATTGATGAGCCCTCTCATCCCGGAGTGGTTCGATCCCACGCGAATCCGAGACGGTGACGGGCGCTGTCTCGGTGATCTCAGGCCCAGTGAGGTAGTGCATCAGACCTGTCCCGGATCCTGCTGACCAAGCTCCTCTTGTAGCTCGATCGGTCACACCGCCATCGCCGTCGGGGAGAGGGGGGACGACACTGCTTCGGCAGCGTGCACCTCGATCCTGTACCGTCTTTGTTATGACCCCCCCCAATGAACACACCAGTGAGGGTGGGCGAGACGATCGAGGGGTCCCGTACCATGCGGAACCGACCCTATCCAGTGCTCAAGTGCTCAAGAGAGATACTCGCCGCCGCTGCCTCGCCCAGCAATGTCCCCGCCCCCGTCTACCACAATTCCCCAGCCTTCAAACGTACAAAGGGGGCGGTGATGGCCTTACTGGCCGCTGAGGACGCCGGTGCATGCCGTGTAGGCAAGAGACAGCTGGCACGACAAGGGCGCGGACTGGCGCGGACTGGCACAAAAAAAATAAGAGAAAAAGGGGGCACCGCGGGCACGTGGCGGGGAGGATGCCAGCACTGTAGGCATGCGTATGGCGGTGCACGCGCGAAGGCGAACCGATGCTGCCGGTATTGGAGCCGGCGCGAGATCGTGGAAGATCCTGGGGTCACGTACTGAAAGAGAGAGCCCGAATCACTTTGAGTGTGATATCTGTGGTGAAAAAATCTCTCGCTTGCTCGAGTGTGCTCGCCAGAATTCTTTCTTTCCGCATAGCAAATTCTTTTGCAAAAAAAGAAAGAAAACAGACACCCAAACGAGGGATGGGGGAGGAGGACAGGGTCCCCAGACCCCACCTGCACGAGCAGGATTTTGGAAGGACGATCAGGGGGACAGGTGGGGCTCTCCTGCTCCTGACAAGGGACACGACAGGCTCGCAGCGCGGTGCACGGTGGACTCCCAACTCCACTGGCGGTCTCCATCTCAGTATCCTAGCGACCTGCCTCCAGCTTCTCGCTGGCAGTCTCTCGCTACCACAGGCACACTGACAGGGGTGGCAGGGGCGGCGGCAGGAGTCTCCCACATACTATGCGGGCCTCGCTAGAGGTGCGTCCTGTGTGTATCCTCGTCCTTGAGGTCTTGAGGGGAAAGGGGAAGGGGCTGTGTGTCTGTGCATGCATGTGTGTGTGTGTGCGCGCTGTGCGAGCCGCCCAATTTGCTAGTGTCGTGATGTATGTAAAGAAAGAAAGAAAAAATAGACAACGCTAGGGAGGTTGAGGGAGCCAATTCTTTTTCTACCTCCCTTCTTGGGCAGGAGCTGGCCGCGTCCACGGCCGTGTCCCACCTTTCCAAACGATGACGGACGCCTCTCGAAGTGAAGACGACTCCTGCCCCGCGACGGCGGCGGCGCCCTCGACGCCGCCGGCCACGGGCCTGCGTCCGTGTGTTTTACGTCGATCAGCCCCGTCGGGACTCGGTGACGAGCGCCGGCTCCGCACGGCCTGAGGCAGCGCATCAGAACCAGACCGCGCTCTTTGATGCGGTGCGCGCGGCGCGTCCCGACCGCGCCCTCCGAGGCGAGCGGAGCGGGCGGCGGCACCGAGCAGGAGGAGGAGCGCGGCGGCGAGGGGCCAGGCGACGAGACCCGGAGCGAGCAGGAGTTTGGCGCGGTTTCACTTTGCGGCTCCAGGCTGACGGCGCGGGCCGCGTGCCGCGTAGTCGCGGCGCCAGAATCATCGCCGGGTCGCCGAGGACCCGCCAGCAGCAGACGACGAGTCGCTGATCACGCGTCCGGCGGGCCCGAGCTCGACGACACGGTCGGCGATCCGGAGCGCCGACTTGCGGTGCGTGACGAGGAGGAGCGTCCTGCCGGCGAGGGCCTCCTCCACCGAGTCGAGCAGCGCCGCCTCGGTCGCCGGGTCGAGTGCGGCGGTGAACTCGTCTAGCGCGACCTGTGCACGGCGAGGCGGCGTGAAGAGGCGCCGGTCGAGCTGCGGGCTGGACTCGTCCGAGCGCGACCACGGGCGACGGGCGCAGCAGCACGCGCGCGAGCGCGATGCGCTGCCGCTGCCCACCCGAGAGTTGCATCCCCTGCTCTCCCACCTCGCGCTCCCACGCCCCTCCAGAGAGGGCGAAATCGCACCTGAAGAGAGAGCGCCGGAGATGGCTCGTGGGAGGAGGGAGGAGGGAGAAGAGAAGGGAGGCTGCAGGGAGGAGGGGGGAGGGAGGGGGGAGGGGAGAGGGAGGAGGGAGGCGAGAGGCAGCAGGGAGGAGGGAGGAGGGGGGAGGGGGGGAGGGAGGAGGGAGGAGCGAGGAGAAAGGAGCGAGGGGAGGGCGGAGACGGGCGAAGGAGACGAGGCTGGCGGAGCGTCTCACCCGGCGCGGCGAGCCGCATCTCGCAGCTCCTCCTCTGTAGCGTCCGGCTTGCCGAGGGCAATGTTGTCGCGCAGCGAGCCGCTCAGCAGGACTGGCTCCTGCGGCACCACTGCGACGCACCTGCGCAGGAAGGCTCCGAGAAGCTTCGGGGCAAGATCGCGGACCATCCCGAGGGGGCGGCGACGCACTCGCGGCGGAGCTGGTCCGGGTCGAGCGTGGACACATCGACACCGTCGAGCAAAACGCGCCTGAGACAGTGTGTGCTGTTGACATCGCGTGTTTTGTCAACACTAGTCGAGGTCCCACACGCGCCCTCCCGCAAGCTCGTACAGGGCTAATCTCGGCCATATCTCGGCGATGTCTCGCCCCCCCGCAGGCTCGTACAGCCCCGTGAGGAGGGAGATGAGCGTCGACTTGCCTACAGCGAGATATGGGGAGATATGGGGAGATATGGGGAGATATGGGGAGGGAGATGAGCGTCGACTTGCCTACAGCGAGATATGGGGAGATATGGGGAGATATGGGGAGATATGGGGAGGGAGATGAGCGTCGACTTGCCTACAGGACGCAAACGTCGGGACACGTCGCGGACACCATGCTTCTGCATGTGTTGATGTTGTCCTGGTACGTGTCGTGGGGAGAGGGGGGGTCGGCTTACCTGAGCCACTCTGCCCAATCACGGCGACACGCTCCCCCTGCCGCACGCGCAAGCTGAGCCCGTCGAGGATCGTCTCGGCCGGTCGCGTCGGGTAGGCGAACCGGAGGTTCTCGAAGGCGACCTCCCCGCGGCAGTCCGGCAGCGTGCCGGACCCGGTCAGAGGAGGCGGGCGGCCGATGAGGGCGAGAACGCGCTCCGACGCGCCGGCGGCGCGGCGCAGCTCGGCGTATGCGGTGGCGATGTTGCCGGCGTTGAAGCCGAGGAAGAGGGTGTACATGAAGAAGGAGGAGAGCTCGCCGTAAGAGAGAGCGCCGTCCAGCACCTGCTGCCCGCCGACCGCGAGAACCGACAGCAGAGACGACTGCATCGCGAGCCCCACGCCCGACTCGACGGCGGCGGCGTACAGCCCTGCGGTGGCTGCCTCGTCCCGCGCGGCCCGCACGCGCTCGTCGTACCGCTCGCTCGCGAGCCGTTCCGCCGCGAAGAGGCGCAGCGTTCGCACGTTGAGCAGCGCCGAGTGAGCCTCTGCGGCGGCGGCGGCGAGCGCCTCTTGCACCGCCCTCTGCCGCGCCTTGATCCTCTTGCCCATGTGCCGCGAGAGGAGGACCGCGGCGGGGAAGGTTGCGAAGGAGACGAGGCAGAGCTTCGGACTCAGCGAGACCATTGCGAGCGAGCAGCCACCCACCATGATCACGCCTGCTCACATCTCCTCGAGCGCGTGAAAGAGGCGCCGCCAGCCGGGCGCGCCGGCAGCCTCCCACCGCGCCGTCGCGCCTCGCAAGCCGTTGAGCGCATGGGTCGTGACCACGCGCTGCAGCGCCTCCGCGTCAGCCGAGAGGCGGGAGAGGAGCTCGCCTGTCGCCGCCGAATCGTGGAAGGCGGTGGACGCAAGCATGAGCGAGCTAAAGGCGCGCGAGCGCAGCGAGGCGGACACGCTCTCGCCCGCCATGTTGACAATGTACCTGGCCACAGCGAGGATGCCGCCGCGGCGGGGGGAGGCTGGTCGGGCCGGCCTGTGTGCCGTGGGGAGAGGAGGAGAGTGAGGGAGAGGCGGCGGTGCTCTCGCCCGCGGTAGGCCACGAGGCCGGCCTGCACGCCGGAGAGCGCAAAGAGGGCGAGCGCGGCGGTGTCCGGCGTCCACGAGCCGCCGCCGGAGAGGCAGCCGTCCATCACCTCGCCCATGACTCGCGGGAAGACCAGAGAGATGCTGCTGCTCGCCGTGAGCAGCACGAAGCCTCCGGCGAGCCGCCACCGCTCCGGCCAGAGAAAGGAGCGCACGAGAGCCGCCGAGTCGGCCGTCGAGAGAGGCTCGATGTCCGGCATTGCCGTGGCTGTTGGGAGAGCGGAGCTGCTGGCTCCGTTCGTGCCGGCAGAGCCAGTGGTGGAGGTGCTGGCTGCCTTGGTGGCGGCTGCAGCGGTGGCCGTGGCAGGAGTGCTGCTGCAGCGCCGAAGGCGCTGCGAGAGTGCGCGCGACGGCTCGCCGCGGTGGCAGTGGCACCTGCTGACGGCGCTGGCGGCGAGACGACGGCGAAGCATGGCTGCAGCGTCGTCGTCGACTCTGTCCCTCCTGAGGCCGCTAGGCTTGCAAGCCCTCCGCCAAAGAAGAATTTTAGGTACGTCGCGAACCTCCATAAGAAAGAACTTCGAAAGATGCGCGCCATTCGTTTTTCTTTTCCTCGCGTCTCGCCGCCGCTTGCACCGCCGCCCCCCGCCAGACACGCCGCCGCCCGCCCGCCTCCTCGACCTCCCCACCGACCTCCTCGAGCGCGCCCTCTCCCGCAGCGAGAGCCCCGCCGACATCGCTCGCGTCGCGGCCGTCTCGCGCCTCTTCCACGCCTCGCTTGCGCTGGAGGGCATCCGCGTGTGGGTGCAAGAGCGCGGCTTCGAGCTGCCGACGCAGCCAGAGGGCGAGAGCTGCCCCGTGCGGTGGCTGTGCCTCGCTGCGCTGCTGCGCGAGGCCAACCCGCCGGCGAGGGTTGCGGCAGGCCAGTCTCACAGCCTCTTCATCGACGGCGAGGGGCGGCTCTCGTCATGCGGCAATGCTGAGAACTGGATGCCAGGGCTGCTCGGCCACGGCGAGGGCGTGACGCGGCTCAACACGCCGACCCGTCTCCCCTCGACGCTTGGGCGGCGAACGTGCCGTGAGCGTGTCGGCTGGAGATTACCACAGCCTCGCCCTCACCAGCGGCGGCGCCGTTTGCAGCTGGGGTGATGGAGGCTACGGCGCGCTGGGCCACGGCGACCGGCAGGACCAGTGGCAGCCTAAGAAGGTCGAGGAGTTGACGGGCCAGCGCGTCGTCGCTGTCTGTTCTGGACGCGCGCACAGCCTCGCCCAGGGGGCACAGACACATCGCTCGCTGACAGATAAAAAGGCAAGATCGGATCGGAGCTCAAGCGATTTCTTTGTCTCCACCTATACCCGCCAGACCCTTGACCCTACACACCCTCACCGCCTGCGCGCCTGGTGTGTCTCCAGTCGCGCAGCTGGCCAGATCCGTCCTTCACCTCTTCTCCCTCTACCCACGACTTAGGCTGTATGTATGTTTCCTCTCGCACCCTGCCTCGTTCTTTTCCGTGTTTCTCTACAGCACCCTCTCGTTCCCTCAAAACCCCCGATGTTTTGCATTCCTGAAAATACCAGGTAATTTTGCCGGTTTCCTCAGGTTCACGGTCGAGGCCAACCTCCACGACGTCGTCGATCTCGGTCTGGGCCGCGTCCTGCATATAATGGAGCGTGGTGGGACGGCGTGCACTCGTGACAACGCACGCGCGAAGTTTGAAAAAGAATTTGAAAAGCTCGTGGCCGCCCACCAGTCTCTTTCTCTGTTTGTCTATTTAAAACGACGACCAAACAGCGCATCGCGCGAGATCACCGAGATTTTTCGACTGTTTGTTTCACATCCTCAGAGTAACTTCGCACTTGCAGCGCGCGAGTTTTTCTTTCCTGTGTGCTTACTCGAAGGCGACAGACGGACATGTGTGTTTGCTTGCTCGCAACGCGGGGCGACGCTCTCATGGACTCACGTCACGCGCCCACTAGCTCACGCCATCAGCCGTAGGATATGGCCGCCTCGCGACCGCTGGTAGGTGGCGAACTCGCGCTTCGCCTGCGAGATGCGTGCCACGACCTCGGGGCTGCTCACGGAGAGCTCCTTCCATGCGCGCTCCGGGTTGGCCGACGCCATGATGACGTCAGCGCGCTCCGACGGCGACGCCGCGGCCTTTGTTTTCTTTTTTCGACCCGCCGCGGCGTTGTATATTTGCTCCGAGGCTGGACATATTTGTGCGTATCTGATGCCATCTCCTTGCGTATTTCGCTTCTAGGGCGAAAGGCCGAGCGTTTTCGAAAAAAGAAAAAGCTGTCAGCGCCTGACGAAGCGCACCTGATGACAGCCGGTGTGGCTCTGAAAAGCACACCAGATAGCCATGCCAAGCGTCGTGCCTCTTCTCGTCTCACTGCCCTACGTCCTGGCTGCTCGGTGTGGCGTGGACAGCTGCACCGACGCCGTCCTCGCAACGCTCGCCCAAGATCTGACCGCCAACTACAAGGGCTTCTCATCGTGCGAGTCTCGCATGAACTGGGTGAAGAGCAACACCGGCCGGACAGAGGTGGAGGCTTGCGAAAAGGTGGCAGAGGAATTTCCGGAAGAGTGTGGCGCCTGCCACCCCTTCCAGTCGCCGCCTCCGCCGCAAACCTCGCCGTCGCCGTCGCCGCCGCCGCCACCATCACCACCGCCGCCGCCTCCGGCACCGCCGCCGCCGGCCCCTCCGCCGCCGGCCCCTCCGCCGCCCTCGCCGCCGCCGCCGTCGCTGTCGCCCTCACCGCCTCCCACGCCGCCGCCGCCGGCACCGCCGCCGCCGGCCCCTCCGCCGCCGGCCCCTCCGCCGCCCTCGCCGCCGCCGCCGTCGCTGTCGCCCTCACCGCCTCCCACGCCGCCGCCTCCGGCACCGCCGCCGCCGGCCCCTCCGCCGCCGGCCCCTCCGCCGCCCTCGCCGCCGCCGCCGTCGCTGTCGCCCTCACCGCCTCCCATGCCGCCGCCTCCGGCACCGCCGCCACCGGCCCCTCCGCCGCCCTCGCCGCCGCCGCCGTCGCTGTCGCCCTCACCGCCTCCCACGCCGCCGCCTCCGGCACCGCCGCCGCCTGCCCCTCCGCCGCAAACCTCGCCGCCGCCGTCGCTGTCGCCCTCACCGCCTCCCACGCCGCCGCCTCCGGCACCGCCGCCGCCTGCCCCTCCGCCGCAAACCTCGCCGCCGCCGTCGCTGTCGCCCTCACCGCCTCCCACGCCGCCGCCTCCGGCCCCTCCGCCGCCGGCCCCTCCGCCGCCCTCGCCGCCGCCGCCGCCGCTGTCGCCCTCGCCGCCTCCCACGCCGCCGCCTCCTGCACCGCCGCCGCCTGCCCCTCCGCCGCCCTCGCCGCCGCCGCCGTCGCTGTCGCCCTCGCCGCCTCCCACGCCGCCGCCTCCGGTGCCGCCGCCGCCTGCCCCTCCGCCGCCCTCGCCGCCGCCGCCGTCGCTGTCGCCCTCGCCGCCTCCCACGCCGCCGCCGTCCGCCTCGCCATCGCCGCCTCCTCCGTCGCCTTCATTGCCGCCGCTCGCCCCGCCGATCGAAGGCTGTATGGACTCGATCGCCAAAAACTTCAACCCGGATGTCGACGTCAACAACGCCGCCCTCTGCAAGTACAACTTCGCGGACGGGGAGATCGCGGTGTTCGGCTACATCACGAACTGCGAGGTGTTCGTCGACCAGAATAGCGACCTCCTGCTCGACTCGAGCGTCAACGAGCTCGGCTTCCCCACCGAGCGGAGCGGCACGAGCACCATCAACGGCGCCTTCTTTGTCGAGATTGGCGCTGCCGAAGAGCGCGTGCGGGTGAAGCCGGCTGCGCTGGGTGACAATCCTGGCCGCTGCAGGGACAGCCTAGCAAACAGGCCGCTCAACCTGCCCCTCGAGTCATCGCTCCTCCGCGGAGAGGGTAGCACCCAGGTGGAGAATGGCGACAGGAGTAGAATCATCACGCCGCTCTCCGCGGCGTCGGCGCCGCTGCTGCGGCCCAACGCTACGAGCGTCGAGGTGGCGGACGCTTCGATGCTCACGTGCGAGAACCTGCTCCCGTGCGTCCCGTGCGAGTCGAGTGGCTCGTCACGGCCGTGCATCTCTGTGGAAGGCCCGCGCTGTGAAGGGCAGGCGCCGCCCTTCACAGGGTTAGGAATCGATGCTTGTCGCTTCCCGAACTCTAAGCAGCCGCAGCTGGTCAACGAGTTCGACGCGTTGCGCTTGTTGCTCGATGGGTCCACGGACTTGGCCGTCGTTGCGTGGCTCGCGACCCAGCGCAACATCGACTTCATGCTCGGCGCCGGCTGCGCCTTCACCGTCCTGAAGTGCGCCAGCGACGAGCTCTGCTTCCCTTCTTGTGCCTCCCTTTGTGAAGGCGTTGGCGTGGCCGCAAACTCGCTCGTGCAGGTGGGAGACGTGCTCTACCGCACCTTGGCCAACTTTACGACGCGCGGCTGGTTGTGCGGCCGGTGAAGGGAAACAAGCGCGAGTCAGAGCGACGCCGGCGACGGCGATGTCGTAGGTTAGAGAGAGCTAAAGAAATCAGAGAGAGGGGTAGGAGGGTGGGAGCAGGAAGGGAGCGAGAGAGAGAGGGAGTCCCCTGTGAGAAGGGCGGACTCGACACAAAAGTGGCGACACAGCTTACAGCCAGCTTACAGCACACACCAGTCATTGGCGTATTTTGGTTTTCTTAACGGTTGTTGGGACTAATCGATTTCACAGCGTGCTGGTCGTGAAGAGGCGCTACTAATGGAGATCGAGGGAGACCATGAACTGTCGAGCGGCCGCAAGGCAAAGGCCGCGCGCACAGAGAAGCTCCCCCCGCCGTCGAGGGAAGGGCCGAGGGCGTGTCAAGCCCGTCGGCCCCGGACAAGGTCAAGGCGCTGTTCACGGGCGCGGTCATGACGCCCGAGCTCGCGCCGAAGTCCACCCTCCAAGAAGAAGGAAACCTGTGCCCACAGTCGGGGCTCTCGCCCCCCGGTGTGAACATGAAGGCGCCCCCACCCCTCGCAGCGTTGGACCTCGGTGTGCGACTCCATCACATGCCGCTGCTGGGCCTCATTCTTGTCCCATGCATGGTGCTTCCCACAGTTCCCACTGCTATCATCAGTGACCGCGCCGCGCAGCTAATGACCGACGCAGAACGGCAGCAGTTTTACCTGACGGCTTTCGCTGGTGGCCCGCTTGCACTGCTGGGTGGCACTTTCTTCCGCGTCATCAACGGGCGCGAGCGCGAGGGTTTTGCGGCGGATCCTGTCGTCCGCCGCCTCGGCGGCGAAGAAAAGGTGCGGGCGGCACGGCGGCGGCTGCGGAAGGAGGGCTTCAGCGTTCTGTTCGACCCGTCGCTCTTCCGCTAGCAGGCGCGGGCGAGGGGACGGGCCGCGGGCAACGATGCATTACCGCGCGAACCGCCGCCTGCGGCGCGCCGGCGCAACGCTGTGGGCGCCGCCTCGCTGCTGCTCTGCGCGGGCTTGTGCGGCTGCACCTTGCCAGAGGCGAGGGCGGCGGCGCCGCGATGCTCGTACGCCGCCCTCGAGGCCTTGCCGGAGCGGCTGACGCGGGTGGCCAACAACGCCCTCGCCGTGGACGTGCGCGCCACGAGGGCGATCTTCACGGACGAGCGCCTCCTCGCCGACCCCGCAGAGCTTACCACTGCCCTCGAGGCGTGCACGCCCGGCGACGCCACAGAGCCAAGGAAGCGGGAGGTGCTGGCGGCGCTGGCGGACGTGCGCGAGGAGCTTGAGTACCAGGTACCATAGCCTCGACCCACGATGCGCCGAGATGCGCCGAGATGCGCCCGGGAGGAGGGGCTCGAGCACCAGCCGCCGCCATCCTCGCCGACCCACCTCCTCCCGGGACCTCTCTCCTCCTCAGGTGCTCAAGGGCGTATCGGACCCGCGCAGGCGGGACGAGGACGACGCTGCAGACTTGGCGCGCTCCGCCAAGCGGGCGCGCGGGACTGTGCAGCGCTACCTGGACGTGCTGGAGGCGCGCGGGGCGGCCAGGCTCACGCGGTAGCGAAGGCAGCCTTAGGCCGCGCAGTAGCGAGCTTTGAGTCGTCTCTCGTGTGCGCATGCCCGCCGAGGCGCGAGCGCGTGTGTTGTGCGCAGCTTTTAGAGTGCATGTACGCGCGGCACGTAGAGTACACGCACCCCGCACGCGCTGCAGTGTGCAGAGCGAGTGACGTGAGAGCCGGGTCATGTCACATGTGAGACCCTGTGGCTGCGGGAGACGTGAGAGAGAGAGGCGCGAGACGTCTTTGACGAGATCGAGAGCGAGGGCGCGTCTCGCTCTTTTGATTCGAGTAGAATTGTACATGAGACGGAGGAGGACTTGAAGACATGCAGCACAGTCAATCCACAGTCGGCCGAGCGGCCCCAGGGCACGCTCACGGCTGCGGCGAGATCCACGTGCGGCGGAACTCTGCGGCAGCGCAAGCCGCCTCCGCGCTGAACGCGCCACGCGCCAAAAAGAGGGAGGCCCAGCGATCGTCCTCCGCTTCGTCGCTCTCGAATGTGGTGATGGTGGCGTCACGAGCCGCAGCGGTCGCGAGCTCGAGCGCCGCATGGTCGACATTGACAGTTCGGGACATCTCGTCCGCAAAGCGCTGTGCCTCGCGGCCAAGAGCGGCCGTCAGCGGATCCTCGTCGGCGGCGTCGGCCATGGCCATTTTGGCGGGCCGAGACCGGGGAGTCGAACGCTTAGGGATGTCGACCAAAGCAAAAGGACTTGGCGCGAGCACAGCCTCCGCCAAGTCCGCTAGCAACGATTGCCTCTGCTCGGGTCGCAGTGGCTGCGCTGGGCGTCCACCGATCCAAACCCGCTTGCTGCCGGAGGGCACGAAGTGTGGACCGATCGCGACGGCGGCGGCGCTCGGAGGTAGCGAGGCGAGGAGCGAAAACATTGTGCAAGGCCTGGCGTCGGCCTGGAAGGAGTTCTCGTCGGGTTTCGGTCCCCCGCTGATGAGTCGGTGGGCGAGATCAAGCGAGCTGATTGTGTGGCAGCCAGCTGGCTGTGTGTCTTGTGAGCCTTTTGTGTCTGTGTGTCGCTCGTGCGTGTCGCCATCATCTGTCCAGCGTCCACCCATACCGCGTTGGTGTCCAGTCCGAGCCTGGCTGTTCTTCACCTTTCTACCTACCTACCTGAGCTGATGATTATTTTTACATCGAAGTTATATTTCAGGTATGCGCACCGCCCAGCCTGCGGCGGGCGCGCTGCGGCCGCACGTCTAACTTCGTCATAGTGCCACGACGTGCGGCCTAGATTTAGCCCACGCGCCTCTGCTCGCAAACACTCACCCATTGAATTGTCACTGCCCGTGAGTGCGAGATAGGGCTAGCCGCAGGCAGCTAGCCCGTGAGGAGAGCGTCCATAGACACCTCACTTAGACCCCACACACGGTCTCGTCCGTGCCTCGCCGGCCGGAGAGATTGCTGGAGGTAGAGCAAGCCTGCTCTAGCCTCGCATGTCACTTCCTGTCGTCTGTTGTGTCGTTGTGCCCTTGTTTGTTTCTCTTGGCACGGTGGAGTGCTGGGGGGGGCGACAGGGAGGATATGGCCTTGAGTTATGTGTAAGCCGACTCAGGGTGTGTGGCAGCCCGCTGGCTGTGTGTCTTGTGAGCTTGTTTGTGTCTGTGTGTCGCTCGTGCGTGTCGTCATCATCTGTCTAGCGTCCACCCATACCGCGTTGGTGTCCAGTCCGAGCCTGGCTGTTCTTCACCTTTCTACCTACCTACCTAGGTATGTGTGCGTTTGCGCCATGTCCCGTGCCCTCGGTCACTGTCTGTTTAGGTATATTGTTGGCAAATCAAGACACAGAGCTCACACAGAATCACAGCGGGAGTCTGTGTATGTGTGTATGTTAGGAAGGTGAAGATCAGCTATGTTGGCAGAAACCATCTCCAGGCATCGGTGTCGCACCTCATCAGCGAGGCTCAAGCGAGCTGGATGATGGGAGAGAGAGATGGCGCCAAACAAGATACTCCATCAAGAGACAAGACGACCAGCCTGGACTCGAACCTCCAATCAGAAAAGAATTTTACAACAACACTCCCTCGCACGACACTGGGCACGGGACTGGCGCGCACTGGCACTAACACACAGGTACACCACGGGAGCCGCCTAAGCGACTCCTGCGAGGACGGCGAGGCACTTAGCTCCGTGCACTCCGACCGCCCCCGCCACAGGCAAGCTCATTCACAACCTGCTCTGCGATTGCCGTATGAAGAACGACCGAGATACGCTGCTTCTGCAGCCCCAGCCAATTCTTAGTGGTCCAAGTCACCTCATCGAGGTATTGGGCCCGCGTCAGCTTGTTCTGTAGCACGTCCGCCGCCTTCCGGAGGATCTCACGGACCCCCTTTCCGAACCCGCCGAACGATTCGAACAGCAGCAGCTGCACTTCAACGCCCACTTGTCTTCCCTGGCGTAGCGATAGTCCCCGCTGTAGGACGGTATGCGGCGGTCGCCGCCCACCACCCTGCCCCCCCTGGTATGCCAGCGCCCGGTCCCTTGCCCTCTCAACCAGAAAAGAAACATGTAAGCCTCAGTGCAAGGTTCCTGGAGAGCGACGCGACAGAGGAAGAAGCGACAAGGGAGAGAACGACGAGAGTGGGACGACCGCGAGGTGGCATGAAGGTTGCAGCGAGAATCGGCGAGAGACTGCGAAGAGAGATAGGAAGAGGCAGACTCCCTAGGGTGGGCGACGGCTAGCGCACCACACACCTCGCGCTTAAAATCCCTGTGTGGTGGCGGCGTGCCGTCCTCTCACACCAAGGGGGCGCTGTCGGCTGGTAGTCGACAAGCTGCCGAGCGCAAATCACTCTGTGTGACACATTTCTTGTTGGCTTCTAAAAATCTCTCTCTCTCCGCGCCGTCAGGTATGGCGTCGGCGCACTCGCGGGTCGCGTCCAGCAGCGCTCTTTGTTCTGACGAGGTGCTGTGCTCTAGCTGGTCGCTGCGTGTCACCATCCGGCTCGCACCCGCCGCCACTCCCTCCTCGTACGGCGAGAGGGCGTCCGCAGGAAACAGATTTCTTTCTTGACGCAGCCGACATTGACGGCCGTGACTTGCGAGCAGCTGCTGGGCGTAGGACGTCTGGAATCTTGCTGCCTGTACATTCGAGCCCCATAGAAGCAGCAGCAGAGCCGTTGCCATGCAGCAACCTCTGGTGGTGCCGTTGCTCCTTCTCTCTGCCGGGTTGGCCGGAGCCTCGTCGGCCCTGAGCTCGGTCCGCTTGTGTGGGCTCTTCCCAAGATTCCGCACAGCTGCGCAGGACTTCAAGGCCGACGATTCGGGCACCCGCCGATTTGCTGCCTTTGTGCAAGCGATCCGCGAGGTCAACAACAAGACGGACGGCATCGCCGACCATTTGCTGCCGACGACCGAGGTCTTGTTTACTCAGCGCGACTCGAGGCGGGACGGTGCGACGGCCTTCTTTGAGGCGCGGGAGCTGGCGACGTCGGCGTTCAAAGGGCAGGGCTGCGACGCAATAGTCGGCGCCGCGTCGTCGGGCCCGTCGGCGCTCGCTGCGTTGGCGCTCAAGGAGTCGTCGACGCCGCAGGCACGTTTGGGACCCCTGCTCCTGCCTGCCTGCTCCTAGCTGCTGCTGCCCCCACACGCGCGCCACGCACGGCGCCACCCGCAGGTCTCGTACTCGAGCACGTCCGCCGGGCTCAGCGACGGCTCGACCTACCCCTACTTTGCGCGCACCGTGCCGTCAGACGACTTCCAGGCGAGAGAGAGAGGCAGCCGAGAGACAGCCGAGAGGCAGCCGAGAGACAGCCGAGATCTACCGAGATCTAGCCGAGATGTCGCTTCCGGGCGCGCGCGGCCATAGACAGAGAGCGGAGCAGCAGTCGAGACGGCAGCCGGCCGCGGCGTCATCATCGGACTAGGCACATGACATGCTGCATTTGCACATGCACCGGGTCGGCCCCAAGCCTCCTCGGCCTCGGCCCAGGCGACCGGCCTTGCCGACCTCGTCCACTCCCTCTTTGGCTACAAGAGGATCGCCACCGTCGCCTCGACCGACGCGTACGGCGCGCAGAGCCAAGGGCGTAGACCCCGTGGGGTAGCGGAGGAGTAGGAGGAGTAGCGAGGAGAGGAGCGGCGGGCTGCAGGCGCGTCGGGCATGCTCGCGTTCAAGCGGCGGGCGAGCGCGCTGGGCATCGTCACCCTCGCCAGCGTCTCCATCACTGGCGGCGCGAACGATGAGAGCGACTTCAGCGAGCAGACGGAAGCGTTGCGCGCGTCTGGCGCGACGGTGATCGTCATCTTCGCGGGCGGGTACGACGCGTCCCTCTTCATCGAGAAGGCGTACGACGCGGGCGTGGGCGGGCCTGGCTTCCTCTGGCTCGGCTCCGACGCCGTCTCGCAGGCTTCGACCATGGCGCGCATCGAGGACCCGACGGTCAGACGGCACGTCTTCCAGGCAGACACTTCCCAGACACTTCCCAGACACTTCCGAGACACTTCCCAGACACTTCCCAGACACTTCCCAGACACTTCCCAGACACTCCCCAGACACTTCCCAGACACTTCCCAGACACTTCCCAGACACTTCCCAGACACTCCCCAGACACTTCCCAGACACTCCCTAGGGCTTCTTCGGCCTCACCCCGTCCGCAAGCACCGACTCGCCCATCTTCCGGCGGTACAACCGGAGCCGCAGCGCCATGCCCTCCACGGCGGGCGACGGCGCCGGCAACTGCGACTTGGAGATCGACGACGACGGGGTGCAGATGTGGGCGGCGGACAACGACGGCAGCGCGAGAGACGCCGGCCGTGTGCCGAGTGCACGTGCGCGGCTCCGCGAGGTGAGCCGGGGTTGGCGCGGGCCGTAGGCAACGCGAGCACGCCGCTCGTGTGCTCCGGGTCGGACAACCAGCAGCTAGACATCTACGCCATGTACAGCTACGACGCCACCTTCGCCCTCGCACACGCGCTGCACAGGCTGGTCGAGCACGCGCGGGTGGCAGAGGCGCGCGGCGCTTGCGCGCACGCCGCACCCACACGCACTGGGCCTTGCACTCCGCCGGGCTCCTCTCTCTCGACGTTGCGTCGCGAGGGTCGCCTCCCGCCTCTCGTCAGCGTGTGTGTGTGTGTGTGTGGAGAAGCCAGCCGGGAGAAGCTCGCCACGCCCTCAACCCAGGTGCGCGGCGGCGAGCGGACCTAACCCGAACCGTAACCCTAACCCTAACCCTCACCCCAGGTGCGCGGCGACGAGCTCTACGAGGCGCTCGTGACCAACGTGAGCTTCGAGGGCGTGACGGGCCGGATCGCATTCAACGACGCGTCGGCAGACGCCACGCCGCGAGAGTCGCGCGAGGGCGCCCGAGGTGGCGCGAGGTCGACCCGACGTCGGCCGAGGATAGGCGGACCCGTCGCGGCGGACGCACGGCGACCGCACGTCGGGCGTGCGGTACGACCTCTGGAACTTTGGCCAGGCGCGGCTCGGCCGTGGAGGCGGCAGCCTCCCCTTTCCACCCTCCGTTGTGTTCACACCTCCGGCTCTGAATGGAACAGACGGAGCTCTCCGTAGTGGGCGCGTGGCAGCCGTGCTCCGCCGGGGCCGCGGCGTGCAGTGAGATCTCGACCAGCGCCAACTTCACCTACTCGACAGCCGACAACAGCAAGCCGCACGACGGTAGCGAGATTGCATCGAGATGCACCGAGATCACCCGAGATCATCCGAGATCACCCGAGACGTAGGCAGCGAGATCGGCCTGCTCTTCGCCGAGAGTGGGAGCGGCGACGGGCCCAAGATGGCCGCGTGCGCCGCATTGCTCGCGCTGAAGCATGTGAATGAGGGCAACGGCTCAGTGGTGCCCGAGCTGAGCCGGTACGGGCCGAACGCGCTCCAGTTTGTGCCGAAGCCGATCGGCATTGTCCGCGCGGACGTGGCCTCCGCTATCCGCGGCTACGAGTCGATCCGCGACCGGATCGACGGCTTTGTCGACGGCGCCGCCTCGCGCACGAACGTGCGCTTCGCCGCGCGCGGGTTGCGCCTCTGCTGCATCCAGGGCACACACACACGTCGCGCGCCTCTCGGCGATAGGTCCACGTGGCGCAGCTCGGCGCGCTCGACGGCGTGCCGCAGCTCAGCTACTACTCCTCCGCCCCCGAGCTGTCGTGCGACGTGCAGTACACCCACTTCGGCCGCTCGTACGTCTCCGACAAGATCTCCTCGTCCGTGCTCGCCGAGCAGCTCGCCGGCTACGGGTGGACCCCCCCCGCCCCCTCCCCACACGGACCCGAACACACACACACACACACACACCACACCACACCACACCACCGCCCCCCCCCCTCCCTCCCCCACCCCCCCCACCCACCACCACCACCACCACCACCACCACCACCGCCGCCGCCCACCGGCAGCCTCCTCACCGGCCTCCCGCGCCGCCCAGGTGGCAGCACTATGGCGTGCTGCACGTGCGGGATGAGTGGGCCGTCGGCTACCAGGAGCAGCTGCGCAGCACGCCTGTGGACATGCCTGCGACACGTCCCTGACATGTCCGCGGCACGCGCCTCAGGAGCACCTCGCGCAGAATGCGTTTCGGCTTGGCCTGACGCAGTTCAGCGGCAGCTGGACGGAGAGCAACGCGGCGGAGATCCGCGAGGCGGTGCAGATGATGAGGGACATCGGAGTGAACATCATCGTCTCGCTGAGCTTCGAGGTCGACCTGCTTCCGCTGCTAAGCAGCGCAGAGGACGAGGGCCTGCTGGCAGACAACTTTGTGTGGATCATCATCGAGGGCTCCGGCAGCGCCGCCAACCTAGGCACCAACCCAGAGGCGACGCGCCTGATGGCCGGCATGTGCGCACAGCTCCCGCCTCTCTCCTTCACCCCTCCGCCTCACTCCACTCCCCGCGCTCGACTGCTCGCCCCCCTCCCCGCCAGCTCCCTCCTCGCCGCTCGCCTCCCCGCCAAGGCGGCCCGAGACACGCCTGAGACACCCGAGACACGTCGCACAGGCTCTCCTTTGAGGCCAACCCGGTGCCCGCCTTCGGCTTCCAGCGGCTTGCCAGGCTGTGGAGCAGCCTCGGACCCGACGATTGCACCCGCGCCGGCGCCGGAGGCATCTTCGACGTCCCGCCCTCCGTCTTCTCGTCGCCGCCCACGCAGTACGCCGCCTTCGCGTACGACGCCGTCGCCGGGCTCGCCATGGGCATGCGCGCGAGCGACAACCCTCACCGGGGCACAGACGTCCTTCGCTCGCTCGCAAGGGTGCGCGCTCCCGCTGCGGGACGGGTCCATGACACTGACACGCCCATGACACGTCCATGACACGTCCATGACACGCCCTGGCAGGTGAGCTTCGACGGCGCATCCGGGCCTGTCGCCTTCGACGCCCGGCTGGACAGGAACGCTTCGGGGCTCATCTTCACCTTCTCCCGCTTTTTTACGGAGACGGCTGATTGGCCCCGCCGGAGGCTGGTTACTGATACGGAGACGGCTGATTGCTCGAACGAGCCAGCCTCTCCCGAGCCAGTTTCGTGCAAGAGGCTGGCCCCGCGGATCTGCAAGATACTGCCCGGCGAAGCTGCGGCGGTGGACTGGGAAGCGGTCGAGACCGTGCCCCTCCTCTTTCGAGACGGGTCCGCCAAGCCAGCCCGAGGATGCCCTCGCTCCACCACGGCCGTTCACCCGTCACTGCATGGATGCCTAGGTCCGCCACGCCGCCCGAAGACGCCCTGCTCGCGCGCGAGCGGGAGCGTGAGGCGGAGCGGCGGCAGCAGCGCCGCCTCATTATCCTTCTCACCTCCGTCTTCGGCGCGCTCCTCCTCCTCTTCGTGGCGCTCACCTACCGCGCGAGCCTCTCCGTGCGCAACTTCAAGCGGCGCGAGATCGCGGCCAAGCAGGCGCGCGAGATGACCCGAGATCGACCGATATGGCCCCGAGTCCACCCGAGGTCACCCGAGGTCATACGCGGTCAAAGGGGGTCACCCGAGGTCACCCGAGGTCACCCGAGATCACCCGAGGTCACCCGAGAATGCGGCGAAGCAGGTGCTCGAGGCGATCCGCGGCGTACACCGGCTCGACCACCCGTGCGTGCTGCTGCCGGCGCGCGCCTTTCTGCGGATGGGGTCACTGCGCGAGCACGAGGCGCTGCGTGCCGAGGGCCAGCTGCTCTTTTACGACTCGCCGCGGCAGCTCGCCGACAAACACGTCGTCTTCTTCTCGCACCAGTGGCTCTCCTTTGGCACGCCCGACCCGCTCGGAGTGCAGTACAGAGTGATGGCCGCGTCGCTGCGGCGTGTCATCGCCGACACGGGCTGGGAGGAGGCCAACGTGCAGGTGTGGGTGGACCTGGCCTCGATCCCCCAGAGCAAGCCCCTGCTCAAGCAGCTGGCCGTGCAGACCATCGCCTGTTACTGCGCGGCTGCACACGCCTTTGTGATTTGCGCGCCGACCACGATTCACGCGGACACGGGCGAGGTGTGCAACGTGCAGTCGTACCAGCGCCGGATGTGGTGCCGCTGTGAGCAACTGTGCCACGTGCTGCGCAAGGGCACAGGCACGATGTGGTGCGCGACCACAGAGGACGACTGCAGGTTGCAACGCCGCCACCTCGCCGCCACCTCGCCGCCACCTCGCCGCTGCCGGCCCCGCCGCTGCCGCCTCGCCCCCGCCGCCCTCACTGTCGCCGCCGCCGCCCCCTCTCTCTCCACAGGCGCCTCGGCGAGCTCGACAGCGAGTGGCTGATGTCGGTGCTGCGCGTGTTTGAGGGCGACGTGACGGACGAGGGCGACTACCTCTCGATCGTGCTGCCCATTCTCGGGTTGTACGCGGAGCTGTACGCCCTGGAGCTCAAGCGGCGCGCGCAGGCGGTGCCGTGGCAGTCCTCGCCCGCCGCGGCAGCCGAGGCGGCGCTGTGTCAAGTGGGCAGCGAGGAGCGGCGCGCCCAGACGCTGCAGCTCGTGCTCAACGAGATCCGCGGCGCGAAGCGGGGCGAGATCTTCCCGCCGAAGTTGCGCATGTCGGCGCAGCGGCTCGCGCAGCTGCCGCTCCGGAAGCGGCTCCTCTCGCGGCTTCCGACACGCGTCTTTGGAGGGTGCTTCGACCCGCGCCGGGACTTGTTTGGCGAGCTGATCCACCTCGTTGAGCGCGCCATCGATCTGGACCCGCAGATCCTGGACGAGGCCGTCGCGCAGGCGGAGAGAGAGAGAGAGAGATTCGACCACCCGAGAGGGGAACCCGGCAGTCTCCGCGGCTGACCGCGAGATTTGCCGCTACGCAGGCGGAGAGCGGGCACGACGTGCAGCGAGTGCAGAAGAAGATTGAGAGGTCGCTGAGCCGGAGGAGCACCGCCTCGAGCGGCTCGCGGTGGACCCCGACGGTGATGCGGCGCCTGCCGGCCTTGAAGAGGCCCCCCTCGGACAGGCGCAGCGAGGCAGAGCCGGCGAGGGCGGAGGCCGGCGGCGAGGCTGGAGCGGACGGTGCGAAGTGCTCGCCTGCGGAGACGCGCAGCACCACGTGCTCGCACACCACGGACGACAGCGGCGAGTCGGCCAAGGGCGAGCTCGACGACGCGGACGGTGCAAAGATGGAGGCGGTGGCAGCGGACGCGATCCGGGCGATCCACGCGTACGGCAGAGGCGACGCCGACAGGGCGCGCGCCGGCCCACCCGGACCCAACGTCGAGCTCGGCTTGGTGGTCACCGACCACGCAGCGCTGGTGCGATCGTGGAGGCTCTCCTTCTCGCCGACTCCCGACCAGGAGGGGCGTAGTCCCGGCGGGGGAGTGCAGACGCCGACCGGCCAGGCCCCCGCCACCGACCACGCGGCGCTGATGCGGGCGTGGAGGCGCTCATCCGAGAGGTCACCACCATACCGGAGCAGTGGGGGGTCGAGCGCGGGCGACGCGAGCGATGGGACGGCGACCAAGGAGGGGGGAGCAGGAGGAGCCTCTGGGCCGGAGCGGGTGTGACACGGCGGCTCGCACTGTCTGTCTCTCTCTACAAGTGCTTTTGTGACTGAGTTTTCAGTTTTGAGTCGTCATCTCCGATCTCGCGGTACGTGATAGCTTACCCTCTTACGTGTGTGTGTACGTCTCTCCCTCAGTACTCTAATCCGACATGGACATCGGCGTCATCTCTGAAAAGGGTTTGTGGCCCCCGCGGCTTGCCCCACATCAAGCCTCCCAAAGGGATCAAGCAGATCATCCCCGCCCGCCGCAGAGAGAGGCGGCACCGATGGTGACGCCGGCGCAGCGCACGCGGACCACGGGTCGCCGCTCGTGTCGAACGGGTTAGCAGCGCCCGAAGCCGCTGCGGCCGCAAACCCGCCCCCTGCTAGCGAAGCCGAAGGAGCAGCACCGAAGGCAGCCCATGGGTCGCCAGAGGACGGGGTCGGCTGTGCCGTGGAGGGCGGGGTCGGCTGCGAGAGCACCGGCGCTGCCGACGCCGCGGCGCCGCCGCCAAACAGATCGTCGAGGCTCGCCCCAAGCAAGTCTGGCGGCGGCGACGGCGTGTGCGCAGGTGCTGCGTGGCCATCGGCACCGCCGCCGCCCGCGCCGCCGCCCGCCCCCGACGCCGTGGACCCCCACGGGTTGTCATCAGCTGTGCCGAGCCCAAAGGCCGTGCCGGCGGGCTGAGCACTCCAGGGGTCGTCAAAGACCCGCCCCTCCTGCGGCTGCTGCGGCGGCGGTGGTGGCGGCGGCGGTGGCGGCGGTGGCAATCCTCCGGGCCGTCCCTCCCCGAAGATGGGCGTGGGCGCCGGGGCGGCGGAGTGGATGGCGGAGTGGGCGGCGGAGTCCCGGTCGGTGCACAGGGCAGCGGGAGGGAGCAGGGCGCGGAGCGCCGCCACCCAGAGGCCAAAGGTGACCTCGTCGTCGAAGGAGACGTCGAGCGACTCGCGCCGGCTGCCGGGCTCGACGCCTCCGCCTGCAGGGCCGATGCCTCCACGGACCTTGTACTGCGCTGGCGGAGAGGACGAGGCCGACGCGCCGCTGCCGCCCTCGTGGAAGCGCAGCGACAGGGAGAGGTAGTCGCGACCCGGCGCCGAGAGGCGGCCGCGGTAGCGTTTGAAGACTTCACTCTCTCCCCCAACGAGCAGGCGTGAGACGTGTCGCAGCTCGACGGCGCGCGATCTCGGCAACAAACCGGACACGACGCCGCGCGCCGCCCATGAGAGCGTGCGCTCGTCCAGCGACAGAGTGAAGGTGGTGGCGTGCGGCGTGCCCTGCTCCCCAAACTTTACAGCCACGCAGCCCGACTTGAGCAGGGAGATGCCCTCGACCGCGGCGGCGGAGCGCATATCGGTAGGCTGCGAGCAGACCGAGGGGCTCACCGCTGACTACTCTGGGTGGAACCTCCAGCGTTGCACGGCGTCTTGACGAATGGAAGAATTTTGGCACCCTCACGGGTAGGGGGTCTCTCACAGCACCATTCAACAACGCAACACAAAAAAGAAGTGAACCGCCGGCGCGGGCGCCTGGCGGCGCCGCTGCGCAACAAGGGTTTCCAGGTTTTAGATCTGTATTGGTGTCGGCACACATCCCCACATGAGGTCAGCGGCGCGCAGTGCCTCTCTCGCAGGCCGATTTTGGCTGTTTTCGAGCTTGTTTTTGTTTTCAGTCTAGGGGGGGCCGACCCCCTCAGAGGCGGCGGGCGGGCGCCCACTGACCGAGAGATCAAAAACGCTCGGCCCGCCGTGTGTCACGGGACGGGCGTCTCTCCGCCAGCACTGTCGAAAGTCGGATCTGGTGGATGGAGGATCAGTGAGTTACCCGCTTACTTGAAGAAAACAGCCAGACAAAAGGCAACACGCCGCAGGCATACGGATTTTAAAATTCTCGCGCCAGTCCCGTGCCTAGAGGTAGTAAAGAAAGAAAGAAAGAAAACAGACAACCCAAGGGAGGGATGGGAGGACGGCATGCCGCCACCACACAGGGATTTTAAGGAGAGGAGTGTGGTGCTGGCCGTCTCCCCACCCTAACCCTTGGTCGTCTGCCTCTTTCTATCTCCCTTCGCAGTCCCTCGCCGATTCTCGCTGCAACCTTCATGCCACCTCGCGGTCGTCCCACTCTCGTCGTTCTCTCCCTTGTCACTTCCTCCTCTGTCGCGTCGCTCTCCTCTGCCTCGTTCTGCGACGCCGCCGCCGCCTGCCGGTCCCTTGTTCTCGCGGCTTCTTTCGCCTTTCGGCGCAGCTCCGCCCTCCTCGCTGCATATCCTGGCCCCGGTCGAGTCTAACAAACAAAAGAGAGTCTATCGAGCTCTCCTCGCGCAAGGACGAGTCTTCTGACGCCCACTGACTGCGATCATTTGCCGCCCAGTCATATCATTGCTCAGGTCCACTCTCTCTTCGAACACTTGTGCCGTGCGAGGTGTCGTGCAGGGACGTCCTTAATTCTCTTTTGTAAAATTCTCTTTTGCACAACACTAGTCCCGTGCCCAGTGTTGTGCGAGGGAGTTTCCTGGTGAAATTCTCTTATGGCGAGGGCGACGGCTTCTAAGGAAGCCGTCGCCGGCGCCTTGTCCGTCGTGTGAATCGTGCGTGTGCGAACGAAAGGCTGTTTGGAGCACTTGGAGCACTTGGAGTGCAGTCGGCAACCTCACGTCCAGGACCGGGGAGCTAAGAAGCGCACCCAGTTGGCCGGACGCTCGGTATCGGGTTACGGGCTAGAGAGCCCTAGACCCGGGGGTGCGCGTTCGCAGGGCCATAACACGGGTCTCCGAGGGTTGGCTCCGTGTACCGGGTTTCCCCTTAACTGTTTGTAAAATTCTCTTTTGCACAACACTAGTCCCGTGCCCAGTGTTGTGCGAGGGAGTTTCCTGGTGAAATTCTCTTATGGCGAGGGCGACGGCTTCTAAGGAAGCCGTCGCCGGCGCCTTGTCCGTCGTGTGAATCGTGCGTGTGCGAAAGGCAACTCTTGGAGCACTTGGAGTGCAGTCGGCAACCGCACACCCAGGGCCGGGGAGCTGAGAAGCGCACCCAGCGGGCCGGATGATTGGCATCGGGTTGCGGGCAAGAGAGCCCTAGCCCAGGGGGTGCGCGTTCGCAGGGAAAGGGCCGTAAAGTAAACACGGGGCTCGTAAAATTCTCTTTTGCGCAAAAAGTGGAAGAACCAGCAAGCAGCTGCCAGCAAGGCTGCACTCCCCGCGCTCGCCCTCCGTCCCCGCCCGACGCCGCCGCGTGGCACAGCCCCTCGCAAACATGTTGCGGCCGACCAACGGCCTGCGCGTCCTCGTGCGCGCCTGCCACTCCGCCGGCGGCCCGCGCGCCGGCTGCCTGCGCGTCCTCGTGCGCGCCTGCCACTCCGCCGGCGGCCCGCGCGCCGGCTACGACGCCGCCACCTCGTCTGGTTATTTCCGACCGGACCCGATGCAGCTTGCGGCGCTAGACCACCTCGAAAAGGTCTACGCACGGGTGTCGACCGCGCACACCGCCGCCGGTCCCGCTGGCGTGTACCTGCACGGCCCGGTCGGCAGCGGCAAGACCGCGCTCATGGACCTGCTGCTGCAGAGCTGCCGCGGTGCGGGCGCCAGCTGCCGCCGGCTGCACTTTCACGAACTGATGGAGCACGCGCACCGACAGATGCACAAGAAACGGGCGCCGCCTGAGATTGGCGCCGACCTCGCCGCCGAGGCGTCCCTCGTCTGCCTTGACGAGATGGCGCTCACCGACATCGCCGACGCCGCCATTGTCACGCGCCTGCTCGAGGGTTGCGTGAGCGGCGGTGCTGCCGTCGTGACGACATCAAACCGGCGGCCGGAGGAGCTGTACTGGAACGGGCTCAACCGGCACGTCTACATCCCCGGCTTTTGCGAGATGCTCGGGCGGCGCGGCGTCGTCGTGCACGAGCTGCAGGCGCGTCCGCCACCGCTGCCGCCACCGCTGCCGCCACCGCTGCCGCCACCGCTACCGCTTCGATAACCGCCTCGCACCACCGCTCTCGCTGCCACCGCCCTCGCTGCCGCCGCCAGCACTCTACCATAATCACTGCCTCTACCACCGCCGCCGCCGCCGCCGCCGCCGCCGCCGCCGCACTCGTACGCGCGCCCTTTTGACGGCGCCCTCTCAGGCGGAGGGCGACACAGACTACCGCGCCCGCCGCGCGGACCAAGGAACGAGGCGCAAGGCCGAGGCCAGCGCCGTCGGCGGTGACGTCAGCGGCGACGGCGCGGAGGCTGCCGCCGGCGGCGCGCGCTACCACTGGCCTGCGGACGGGGCGGCGGCGGCGGCGATCCGGCGGTCCTTCGAGGCGCGTGGCGGCGCGCTGGGCCGCGTGCGGCTGCCGCTCGGCGAGAGCGGGCGGCGCGGCCTCGACCTGCCACTCGCCAACCGGGTGGGGTGCGTGGTGAGCTTCGCGACGCTCTGCGGGAGCGCGCTCGGCGCCGCAGACTACCTCGAGCTGGCGAGGCGGTGCGGGCTTGCTCGCGGTCCGAGGGGGCGAGGAGACGCTGTTCACAGGCGGAGGGGTCGCGCGCTGCGAGCAGGTACGAGCTGCTCGCGGTGGAGGGGGTGCCTGCGCTCACGCCCGAGGACCACAACGCGGCGAGGCGCTTCATCACGCTGATCGACGTGTGGTACGACCAGGGCAAGGAGCTCCCTCCTCTCGCCGCCAGCCCGTGGACGTGGACGGCGTCTCTTCACGCCTCTTCCTGTGAGCAGGAGCTGCACCTCTCGTCGGCGGTGCCGCTGCCGCAGCTCTTCTCCGGCATGCACGAGGAGGGGATGCGAGCCTCCCTCGGCAGCCTGTCCACGTACGCTCAGGCCGACCCGGTGCCCGCCGCGACGTCTGTGCGCGGCTTCGGCGGAGCGTCTGCGGGGCTCACCTCGACGTGCCTGGGGGGGGGCGCGAGCAGAGGGGCTGAGGACGGCGCCTCCTCACGCCTGCCCGCGTGTGGACAGGTGGATGGGGGACGGGACCGAGTGGTCCGCCACCGGGCTCATGGGCGTCTCGATGGCGGCGCTCAACGGGCTGCAGGACGCCGCCTTTGCGCAGCGGCGAGCGGCGTCGCGGCTGCTCGAGATGTCGGCCGCCGACTCGTGGCCGCCGCCCGCGCGGAGTGCGGCCGCGGGCGGGCAGGACCGGTGAGAGACGGGCGAGGAGCGGGTGGGGTGGGGCTGGGCTGTGGAGTGTGGTGTGCGGATTTCTGCTTTTCCGGACGGGGCGGCGAGGGCCATCGCGCAATCGGTCGGGCTGGGAAAATCCACCCACGCAGGCACGGCACACGTGTGCGCGGCACGGATTTCTTGGGCGCGGCATGCATCTTGGTAGGGTAAGGGCCCTAACCCTAACCCTAACCCTAACCCTCTAACCCTAACCCTGCACTAACCCTAACGGTGGCTAACCCTAGAACCCTAAAAATCCAGCCCCAGCAATCACAAACGATGGCCTCCCACCGCATCGGCGCCCGCGTCGCGGGCCTCTCGCCAGGGAGCAGCTGTGCGCCATCATCGAGGCGCAGGCGGGCGCGAGCCGACGCCGCGCTGGGCGCTGCGCGTGGCGGAGGAGCACGCCGCACGGCTCGTGGATCAGCCCGAGTGGGTGCTCTCCGAGGTCCTCCTCTCGCCGGACCTCACGCCCCGCACATCCTCGCCCAGCTGCCGACCAAAGGTGCACGCCGTCAAGGGGGACAGAGATCAAAAAGGGGGACGGCCCTGGTGTCCAGTCCGAGCCTGACTGTCTCTTCGTTCGCGTTCGCCTTCCTGTCTCTATATCGCTATCTGGCGCGACGCTTTTTCCGTTCTTCGTCTTCGTTACCGAAGACTGCCGTGCCCGTGGAGAAGTGAGACTAGCAGTCTACCCGCCCTCCTCCGCCGCCGCCGCCCCACTCTCCCTGAGCCACTCCCGCGAGCGCAAGTCCGCCTGCCTCACGCGGCGTCGGTTCGAGACGCCGCCGCCTCCGCCGCTGCGCGACGCCGAGGCGCCCGCCGCGTGGGGCTGACCCCTCAGCAGGCGTCAGCCGGGCGCGGTGCCAGATGCGCGCGTCATGTCCTCCTCTCAGCGGCTCTCTATGAGCGCTGGGCCGCGTCCGCCGCCTTCCTTGCAGCGGCCGCCTTGGCCCTCGCAGCGGCCGCGCGCCTCGCCTTTGCGGCGGCCATCCCCGCCTCAGCTGCCGCCGTGGCCGCCTCAGCTGCCGCCGTGGCCGCCTCAGCCGCCGCAAGTGCCGCGGCCGCGGCTTCCTCCTCGGCCGCGGCTTCCTCCTCCTCCGCCTCTGCCTCCTCCTCCTCCTCCTCAGCCTCCTCGGCCAAGCGCTCCGCCTCGACCATCTCAGCTAAAGCCGCTGCCTGGCTCTCCGCCGTGATGCCGAGCCGGATCCTCTCCTCGTGACAACTTTCGAGAAGCCTGATCAATCTCGCCTCCTCGGCCTTCTTTGCGGCCTCGGCTGCGGCTGCCTCCGACAACACCTCGGCACCCTCTGATGGCGCCTCCGCACCCTCCGCCGCCGCCTCGGGCTCCTGCGACGGCCCAGCGGCGCCGCTCCCGCCGCCCTTCTTCTTCTTCTTCTTGCCCTTCTTGCCCTTGCCGCGCTTCTCCGCCTCGACCTCCGCCAGCAGCTCGTCGGCATGCCGCGCCGCCTCCGCCTCCGCCGCCGCCCGCTCCGCCGCCCTCTCCGCCGCCTCCGCAGCCCTCGCCGCCTCCTTCGCCGCCTTCTCGGCCGCCCTCTCGGCCGCCGCGTGCTCCTCGAGGGCGCGCACGCACTCGGCGTTGCCCTTTGCCTTGGCGACCTGCAGCGCTGTGCGTCCAGCCGCCGAGCGCAGTTCCATGTCGGCGCCCGCCCGCAGCAGGCAGAGCAGGATGGCGGGGTGGCCGAAGCAGGCGGCGTTCATCAGCGCGGTGCCGCCGGCATTGTCCTGCAGGTTGGCCTCCGCGCCGTGATGCACCAGCAGCTCGACCACCCGCTCGTGGCCGTTGAGGGCGGCGCACAGCAGCGCGGTATAACCGTTCAGCGCGGTATTGCTGCTGATCCGAAGGTCGATCGAAGCGCCACGCCGCAGCAACGTCGCGACCAGCCACTCGTGTCCACTGAGGGCCGCGAGCATCAGTGCGGTGTGGCCGATGCTGTCCTGCCAGTCGACCTCCGCCCCGTGATGCAGCAGCAGCTCGGCCACCCGCTCGTGGCCGACCGCGGCGATCAGCAGCGCGGTGCGGCCGTCATTGTCCTGCTGGTTGATCTCCGCCCCATGCTGCAGCAGCAGCTCCGCCACCCGCTTGTCGTCGTTCCTTGCGGCGAGCATCAGCGCGGTGCTGCCGCTGCTGGTCTGAAGGTCGATCGAAGCGCCACGCTGCAGCAACGCCACGGCCAGCCGCTCGTGGCCGTAGGCGGCGGCTGCCATCAGCAGCGTAAAGCCGCTCACACCTTTACGAGTGAAAATCGCGTCCACCCGCCCGCCGCCGTCGAGCCACGCCAGCACCGCCTCGCCGCCTTGCTTAGCCGCCTCCACGACCTCCTCGGGGACGGCGTCCTCGCCCGTTCCGCTCTCCACGCCGCCCGAAGAGGACGCGGCAGTCGGTGCCGCCGCCGCCCCCTTGCCCGAGGCGGCATCGCCGTCCGCCCCTGCGCCGCCCGCCTCGCCGATCTCCTCGGGAACAGGCCCGCTGCTGCCGCCCAAAGCGCTGCCTGCCCCCGCGCCGCCCGCCTCGGCCGCCGCCGCGTCGCGCCTGTCCGCCGCCACCTCGCCGAGAAACGTCCTGACGGCGGCGACGCACTCGGTGTGGCCCTTCTCCTTGGCGATCTGCAGCGCCGTCTTGCCGTCCGCAGTGCGCAGCGCCATGTCTGCGCCCGCCCGCAGCAACTGGAGCACGACGGCAGGGTGGCCGTCGAAGGCGGCGCTCACGAGCGCTGTGTGGCCGTCGATGTTATGCAAGTCGACCTCTGCCCCGTGCCGCAGAAGGAAGTCGACCACGCGCTCGTGGCCTTGGTTGGCGGCCAACATCAGCGCAGTGCAACCGCGGCTGCTCTGAAGGTTGATCTCCGCGCCGTGCTGCAGCAGGGTCTCGGCCACCCGCACGTGGCCGTTGGCGGCGGCGGCCTTCAGCGCCGTGACGCCTTTGCAGTTTTGCGAGTCCGGCTTCGCGCCCCGCTTCAGCAGAACCTCGACCAGCTGCTTGTGACCGTGTCCGGCGGCGATCAGCAGGAGCGTACAGCCACTCACACCGCGATGCACGCACGTCGCATCAACCCGCCCATCCCCGCTGACCCACGTCTGCACCACGCCCACCTTGCCGTCCGCCGCCGCTGCCTCTATCTTTTTCGGCAGCGCGAGCGGCGCAGCCTGTGACGCCGTCGAAGCGTGCCCGCGCCGGGAGGCGGCTAAGCCAGCTTTGGGTCGGCCAGGCATGGGAGCGCTCCCTGAGCCAGAGGGAGGAGGTAAACAGTCAAATTGGCACGAGCAGACCAGGCCTACATGCATGAGGCAAACATGCGAACCGTGTAGGCCTGCGCAGCGAACAGGCCACGGAGTTAGCGCTCGGGGGTAGGCGTCGTGGTAAAGTTCTTTTTCCCGTGTTAGTGCCAGTTCGCGCCAGTCCCGTGCCCAGTGTTGTGCGAGGGAGTTTTGTGGTAAAATTCTTTTTCCCGCGATGTCCGCTCCCTCGCCGCTCGCAACGCCATGGAAAAAAGAGAATTCATCGGACAAAATAAAATTGAGACCATGGGTGTGAGGTAAATCACGCTACCAGCGCGCTTGGTCACACATATCGGCCTGCGCAGTGAAATCATCGAGGCCCTGTCGAAAACGCTTCATAAATTAGCTCTGAAGACGGATCTCACAGCTTGCTGTGCTCGCACAGCGTGGGCAATCTCCTGCACCCGCTACCGCGCATCTCCCCCTGCTCGCGCCCCTCCCGCTCCTCCTCCCTCGCGAGGATGGCGCGCAGGTAGTGCACGAGGACGCGGTCGGTCCACGCGCCGAGCAGCGGCGTCGCGCCCGCCGTGTAGCCGATGTGCCCTCCGTGCCGGGTGATCGCCGTCACGATGTGCGGGTTCGACGCCATCGCGGCGAGCGGCAGCGACCAGACGGGCACCACCGGGTCATCGCGCGCGTGGACCACGAGCAGCGGCCTAGGGGAGCACACCGTCAGTGTCGAGGAGGTGTCGTGGAGGTGTCGTGCAGGTGTCGTGGAGGTGTCTTGTCGCGGCGTCTTCTCGGAGCACTCGGGTGCACTAGACCTCTGCTACGGACCTCTGCTACTTTCTGCTGCTGCTGCCACCGCCGCCGCCGCTACTGGCGGCGACGCGCGCCTCGCGACGCGCCGCACCAGCTCCTCGCCGACCGAGCAGCGGCGCCAGTACTCCTCGTGGCCCGACAGGCCCCACAGCGGCGCAAACACCTCGTCCTCGTACCCGCGAAAGACGCCCAGGAAGGCGCGCCACACCTGCAGAGACACACGGCTCCGGGAGAAGTCGGGGAAGGGTCGATGCAAGACACACCGTCGAGGAGACCCGCGCCACGCGCCGAGACGGGACCGCCCGCTAGTTCCCTCCGGTGGGAAAGAAAGTACAGCCACAACTTGAAGCCGATCGCGAGGCCGTACAGGCGCCCGACCGGCGTGCCTGCTCACAGCCGCGCCGCTGTGAAGAGACGCGCCAGCTCACAGCGGGCCCTGCACCGCCGGACCCGCTGTGTGCGCCTTGCCAGTACCGCTGCACCGCAGACACGTCAAGCGCGGGCGAGACGGCCATCGCCGCCCGCAGCTCGCACCCCTCGCCCGCCTCTGCCATGTGCCGCACCAGGATGCAGCCGCCCATCGACCAGCCGACCGCGTAGAGGGGGGACGAGGGCAGCCGCCGCCGCAAGTGGCTCAAGATCTCCGCCAGATCAGGCGCGCCGAGGCCGCAGTAGACCTTTGGCGTCGCTCCGCCCGCCGCGCTGAGGGGGAGTCCGCCCAGCCCGCGCCAGTTGACCGCGGCGGGCGTGCCGAGCCCTTCTGCGAGGACGAGTCGCATCACGTGCTGCACGTACGGGAAGGCGGCGTCGTTGTTGATGCCCGGCAGCATCAGGATCACCGGCACGCCGTCCGCCGGCCGGCAGGGGAACCTTTGCCGCACAAAGGAGGCTGGAGTCCGGGAACCATGAGCCAAGGCGAGAGCCTTGGCGAGAGCGGGAACCATGAACCGAGCACGGGCGTGTGCATTAGACAGGGGAGTGGCCGCGTTTCCGCATCTAGAGAGGGGGCCACTCGACCGAGACATCTCTGCTGCTCCTGTCTAATGCACAGCGTTTCCGCATCTAGAGAGGGGACCACTCGACTGAGACAGTGCCACCGTCGGAGAGCGGAACTAGCTCGCGGTCGCAGCGGTGCCGCCACGAGGGGAGCTTGATGTAGCCAAAGAGGGAGGCGAGGTGCCCGTTCCGCGTGAGCACGTTCGGGATGTACGACCGAAGCAGGAGCGGCACCGCCATGACGAGCTTGACATTCTCCTCGCTCGGCGCGTACCGCAGCTCTGGCGGCGCCGCCTCCCGAATCCAACGCGTGAAGAGGAGCGCCATGCCGACGGCGGTGGTCGCGGCTGAGGCGGATGCCGTCAGCAGCAGCCGCCATAGGCCGCTGCCATCCTCGGAGGTTTGCGGCTGCGAAGTTGGGCTGTCGCCACGTGACGTCGGACTGTCGCCACTGGAAGGCGTGTCGACATCGTCGAGGCGGTCACCACTGACCTCGACCGCCTCGTCGTCCTCTGCGCCGACGATCTCGCCGCTGCTGGAGTCGTCTTGATCTGCGTCGACAGACTCGAGCGCGACAGCCATCTGTGTGCGAGAGAGAAAGAATTCCTCCGGGAGGATGTCTGTACCGCGGGTATCTCGTAGGGATCCGAGTCGCAATCACCCGCCCGCCGCCCCGGCGGTCCCGCAGCTCGCGCACATCTCCCTCTTAACCCACCTGTAACATCTACATAAGGGATCCCTACAGGAGAGTCCGTCGCGCTCCCAATACGTGCATCACTTTTGTGACGGTGTTACAGGGCGCCCGATCGATTGCGCCTACTTTCATGAGCGTCGACACGGTAGTTATCGAGATATGGTTGATCAAAAGTTGTAACACCGAGGTCACAAAAGTGATGCACGTGTATTCGTGCTATTGGGAGCGCGACTGGAGTGGTGTACAGTGTTGTGTCTATTAGCTCCGAGTAGAGGGCGCGTCCTGCAGTTAAGGGGAAACCCGGTACGCGGGGCCAACCCTCGGAGAACCGTGTTTACTTTACGGCCCTCTCCCTGCGAATGCGCACCCCCCCTAGCTAATAGCTTTAAGCTAAGCCTAAGGGGTCACGATCGCTGTGGCAGCTGTGGCAGCCGCACAGTAGGCTGTGCCAACTGTGCAGAGCGTGTGAGCAGCAGGGGAGCTTCACTCCAGGCTTCAGGCGCAAAGAGATGCATGCCACCGAATAAGCCGCTGTCGAGGTTCGCCGAGCGGCGCAGGTTGGAGGACACCTCGTCACCGACGAGCGCGTTGGACTTTTCACTCCGGACAAAAAAGTAAAAACGGGGCACAGCGGACGGTGCGTCGGTGGGCGGGGCGTGCCGCAATGCGCAAACTTAGCGGCGAGGCGCGGGACCGTCTGTGGCGAAGTGGGTCGCGTCCTCCGATTTCCTCAACTCACGGTCCACACCCTTTTTATGCACGGGCCACGGCCACGGGCCGCGGCGTTCTTCCGTGGCGTGTTCAGGCGTGTACCTCCCCCCCCGCACGCGCTGCCCGCTGCGCCCCTGAGTGATTCTAAGATCAGGTCGCGCACCTTAAGAGCGCTTACGGCACTTTCGTTTCAAACGCTAAAAGATCTGTGGCTGCGATGCTGGAACGCGCCCTAGGGCTTCTCCGCCCCGCACCTCGGCAACTCCACTTCTGCCCGCCGCAATGGACGACCTGTGGGAGATCGAGCTCACGCGTGTGACAAGTGCAACGAGTGGGTGCCTGTAGTGTGTAGATGCGGGCAGCCCATCGCAGACTTTTTTTAAGAGGTAGAGTACCCGAGGCCCGAGTTTCTGAAAAACTAAACGAATTGTGTTGACTGCCGGGGGCGCGAATTCTCTCCGATTTTGCACTCAACCGTTTGTAACATAAATGATTAAATCATGTGTCTCGGCTGCGCTCTCCCCCTCGTGGCGTCGCCAGCGCGAGCATCTCGCCCCGCGGTGCCCTCTCCAGGATCCGCCTCCCCTCGCCGAGTGAGGCCGCGTGCCTCTCGCGCAGCGCCCTTGTCGCCTGCCGCAGCGGCGCCCCCAGCGCGTCGAGCGCCTCGGCCGGCAGCAGCGCGCCGTGCCGCACCTGCCGCAGCGGTGGACCCGACAGTAAACGGACGGCCGAGCAGAGACACCACCTGCTTGTGGTGGGTGTGGCGGTGTGGCGTGGCTTCGATCATTACCCCCCCCCCCACCCCCCCCCCCACCCACCCACCCACCCACCCACCCACATAGTGACCCCCGTGAGTGCTGTCTGGAGCGGCGCCTGCCCATGCGTAGCGGTCGTCGCGTTGCCCTCGTGCCGGTACCGCTCGAGCCTACGAGCGTGACACGATTGCGGTGGCGCGCGCTGCGGCCGCCTCAACCACCCCACACCGCTGGCCTGTCGAGCTCGCCGAGCACCAGCGCCTACTCGGGGCAGAGCTCGCGCGTCGTGGATGAGCCGAAGGGCCGGTGCGGCGTGGCGTTGCCGGGGTGAGTGTATGCAGGCGCGCGCCATCGCGACGTCCCGCCGGCCGTTGTGCGCCTGGCAGAGCTGCGAAAAGGTGCGCGCGCCGACGGGGCGGAACTCGACCGTGCCTACACGGCAAGGGGCACGGCGAGGCCGCGCGGCTGGAGGGAAGAGCTCCACGCCTCGGCTCCGCCCGCTCCGAGCTCCGCCGCACCGAGAGCGCGCTGCGCCGCGTCGTCCTCCGCCAGCAGCCGCGCGAGCGACGCTGCACGAGGAAGGATAGGAGCTGTGAGAGGAGGAGCGGTGAGATGGAGACGCGAAAAGGAGCCGTGAGGGCTCTGGTGCTCTGCGGGAGCGTCCAGGATGGGCGCTGCGGTGGCCCTGCCCGGTGTCTCGTGTCTCGGAAGTGTGCCCCTCGCCTGCCTCCCGCCGCACCAGGAAGCCCTCCTCCACCAGCGCCACGCGCAGCGGCGGCGCCGCCGGCTCAAACTCGCGCCTCTGCTTGGCGTAGTGCAGCAGCGCGCGCAGGTTGTGGTTGGTGACGCGCGACCCGCTCCACACGACCAGCCGGCTCCGCGCCACGCCGAGAACAGCAAGCGTGCGGCCGAGCAGCAGCGGCTCACCACCCTCGGCGGCGGCCTCGGCAGAGGTGAGCCGCTCGCGCCGCCCGCCGGCCAGGAAGAGGTCGGCCGTTGGAGCCGCCGCCGCCAGGCGGGCGAGTACGGGCGCCTTGTGCAGCACGTCGTACCAGTTGCCGCTCACCGCCAGCAAATCGGGCGGACTGAGGTGCGGAGAGCGCTTTGGACAGGCGGCACAGAGGCGACCAGCCGGCACGGAGGCAAACCATGGCTGCGGCGAGCGGAGGAGGGAGAGGACGTCGTCGAGGGTGCGCCATTCGGCGGTGCTGAACTCGGGAGATGCCATCGCTCTGACGCGTCCTCTCCTCCTGAAAGCGCCCTCGTTTTATACCGGGAGCCGAGAGAGGCGCGAGACTGTGCCCGAGAGAGGCGCGAGACTGTGCCCGAGAGAGGCGCGAGACTGTGCCCGGGCGCGGTATGCAATACTCGAGACCTCGACAGAACTCGGATCCACGCAACTGCCCATCCCTCCCTTGGGTGGTCTGTGGAGTGCGAGGGCTGGATCGACTGCAGCGAGAGTGTGGGTTGTGGACCGTCGGGGTAGCGTGTGGCGTAGATGTTCTCCTGGAAGTAGAGGGGCGTGGTATCTCTCGCCTTGCAGGAAGGAGAAACTCAAGACGCGTGAAAACCCTTCTTCCGGCATGTGCGCAGAACGGTTGCGCATTGCGCGGCATCGTGTTGAGGGCTCGGGAGGGGCGGCAGCGACGGCGGCGTTGCCGAGCTTGTACAGGGGCCTCAATCAACCCTGTCCCCGATGGGGTGCGCCTCTCGCCGCGCGCGTAGCAGTCGGCGCGCGGGTAGCCTCAGAGATGCGCAGAGCGAGATGCGGGAACCGCACGACCAAGCCCTGGCGTTGGGCGCGGCGAAGAGCCGCGGCGCAGTGGACAGCGTGAAGAACTCGAGATCGCTGGGATCCTAGCCGAGGCCCCGGCCCTAGCCGCCCCAGGGGGACACTTTCTGTGTTGGCGTCTGGAGCCCCTGTGCTGGCGTCTGTGGTGATGTGTGGGGGACACTTTCTCCTCCCTATTCATGAATCATGTGAGTCACTCGACTGCGTCGAGGGGGGGGACGTCTGAACCACAGCGTGTCCCGCTCCCGGCCCATATCCCGGGGGTGTTTCTCTTCTTATCCGTTACCATGTAGAGCAAGACCGAGGGCGGGCCCTTTCGGGCTCGGGCCGCCCTCTCGCCCGCACCTCTGCGTGCGGGGGCTTGCACGCAACGGTGCGCCCCCTCGCGGGCCTCTCGCTTGACCTCGCCCCCTTCGCTAGCTGCCTACCCACCAAGGACCAACCAAGGCGACAAACACCAAAGGCGGGAGGTGCCGCGCTTGCCCCCACATCACGTTCGATCTGCATAAATAAATAAATAAACAAAGAATCATAGAAAATCCAAAACCCAAATCGCAAACATAGAAACCCAAACACAGGCGGCGACGTGGCATACGAGCTCGTAGGTGAAGGAGGCGGGCACACGTGCCAAGCCCAAGGACGCACGCGAGAAGCAGCACCACAGACAGAGCGATGACGATGATGATTCAATAAATAAAACCAAACAAGGGGTGGGAGAAGGACAGGGTCCCCACCTCGCACCTGCACGAGCAGGATCTTGTACTCGAGTAAGGACGATCAGGGACACAGGGGAACGGGAGCGGGGAGCGCATCGCGACACGGAGGGGGGCTGGGCAGGGCTCACCCAATTCCCCTAGAACTTGGAGAACTACGTTCTTTCATCCGCCAGTCCCGTGTCGTACTTTTAGCTTACTGGGAGAAAAGAGAGAGGGGGTCTCTCTCCGTGTCCAAACCTATTCGTTGAGTCGCTGTTGTCGCCTTGAGTCGCTGTCGGTC